ATCCAGGGTTTCCTGTGAAGTCCTCTTAAAGTTAACTCTCATGAGCAAATTACAGTATTAAAGATCCACCATTCATTATACAGCTTACAAAACCAAGGAATTTCTCTGTTGGGTACAGATAAAGTATGGTGGGGCGTGCGTGTCAGCCCTGCTTTGCCACGAGAAGGCTGAGGGGAGGCCACAACAAGAACCCCACACCTCCAGCACTGGCTCCAGCTCTAAATGTGCAGGGCCCTCTGCTATAAGCTGGCCTGCTTGGATGCACACCCGCACCCTTTGCCAATGGGTGTTGTGTCTGCTGTCTGTGTTTTCTTCCTTTTTGTTGTCATTAGGGACACATGCAGCACAACATGCACATCATCTAGTTGGATCTGCTGCTGTTTTCACTGTTCACCAGATCAACCTGTTGTGCCATGGCATTTTCTGAGGAGGTGATGCCATTATCAACAACAGGATAGCTCTTTAATTTGCTCCATCTGCTTACTGCTCTTATGAGCTTCCTTCTCTTCCCGTGCTCCTCTTTTTTACTGTCATCTCCTGCTGTGTCATTTGTTTCATTCTGATTGTATGCTCCTCAGGACAGTGACCTGTAAATTTTTATTTGTCTGTGAAGTCTTTTGTGCTTTATACATAGCTCTGAAAACAGGATTAAAAAAGAAACAAAAAAAAACCCCAGAAAATCAGTAAAGCTCGTTTTATACAAAATAGCAATAAGGAGTGAGGAATAAGGAGATGGCAGTCAATGTGTAATAAGCAGAATTGCTTCTAAGTATGTCCTTTGGTTTTCCTTGAAAACACTGGCTGGCTTTTGAAGAACAAAAGTCCAGCTTTAAATTGAAGACAAACCAATATCCTGGTGTGGGTAAGGGTAAGCAAAGAGGAATTTCAGCCTCTCCAAAGTTCAGAAACCTTTACTGAGTTGTTGCATTTGCCTGCCAGACTGACCACTGTGCAAGTTCAGTGTGTGTGTTATTTTGGGGGGTCCAGGAGAGGAGGAGGAATTCTTTTGGTGATATGTACCAGCTTCCATCTCTCTGAAGCAGCGTGCAGAAGGATGCTGTGGTGCCTGAAGCCAGACCATGCTGGTTTGGACAAAAATTGTTACAGAATTATTAAGCCTAAAAAAAAACCAAAGCAAAGGAGATTTATGCATCTACATCTGACCAAGTTGGTTTGGAACAGATGCAGAATGGAAAAGTAATAAAACCATAAGAGACACTGTCTCCTGGGTACAGTCTCGATCCCTATTTTTTCTTTCTTTCTTTTTTTTCTTAATTCTAAACATGGGCAGTCTCCTTTGGACAGGAATGATTTCAGAGATATTGCCTGTTGGTAAATTGGTGTTTTTTACTTTCAGTTGATTGTCTGCCAGGGTAAATTTAAATCTTCCTCCAAGCGTTCTGCTGGGGATGTCAGCTGTGACTTTGCAGCTGAGCAATCTGCTGTTCCTAATGAGAAAAATGAACCTTTCTTTAAACTTAGCTCTTGTGCCTTGCTGAGCGTGCACAGCATTATCAGTTCTTGGTAAAGCTGTTGTGTGGGGATAAGGGCAGTGTGTGTGTGCAGGCTCTCCTAGCACAGCGTGCAGCCAGAGTGCCAGGAACCACAGCGAGGCGTGAAGAGGAAAGGGAAAGATCGACCTCACCTCCAAAAACATTGTGCTTATTGACTATGCAAGTTTCTGGTTAGCACTGAAAAATCCAGGCTGTGCCTCCCAGCTTGACAGGAAGCCTGTGATACGGTTTTTCCTCTAAGAGAAGCTTTCTCTGGGTGAAGCCACGTCCACAACGCTGCCTCCTGTTGCTTGTTTTCCAACTTCTGCTCAAACCTTGTGTGCTGGGTTCTGCTAATGTAAGGATGAAGGGCATGGTTACCCCTGGGGAACTGCAGTTTGTAGCATATGTAATAAGTCAGCAATACCAACCCAAAGGTTTTTCTGTCTCCAGGTATGCCTGCGGCCTCTCTGGTGACTCCTGCAGATGTCATCAAAACAAGGCTACAGGTAGCAGCCCGGGCAGGGCAGACCACTTACAGCGGTGTTGTAGATTGCTTTGTGAAGATCCTTCGAGAGGAAGGTCCAAAGGCTCTGTGGAAAGGAGCAGGAGGTGTGGAAAACAGCTTTGATTACTAATTTTCTTTTTTTTTTTGTTTTGCTTTGCTTTGCTTTGCTTTGCTTTGGTTTTGTGTCACTTAAGGACTGTTTTGTTTCCTTTCAAGCTCGTGTGTTTCGATCATCTCCCCAGTTTGGTGTAACTCTTGTGACTTATGAACTACTGCAGAGATGGTTTTACGTGGACTTCGGGGGAGTGTAAGTATGTGGTGTGTGAATGTGCCTGGGAACCCACAGCTGCTCTGGGATCTCCATGTGTCTTTGGGCAGAATAGGGGTCTTAGCATTGTGTAGAAAATATTGCAAAGGTTTTGTCAATGTTGGTTAAGCCACATTACATCTGGTGGAGGATAGGATGATGTTCCACCACCTGTATCACAGCAAGACATTACCACATTTTAGGTCATCATTTTGATCTGGGGACATGTGTTGGTATAAATGGAGACAGCAGAAGGCTGAATAACAGGGTGGGAGTAGAACTGCAGGGGATGTGTAATGCTTACTGAGTCAGGATGCACTCTGCATTAGTCCTCATTAGTGTGCTGAAGGAGCTGCATCCCTTACAAAGGAGGGTTTGACATACAGAAGGGTCTACAGGTGTCACCAAGTCCAAATACTGTTTGTCAGAGTCTCAGCTCTGCCTCCTTTGAGGACATAGTACATAGGGATGTGCATATTGCTGTTTTAACATGATTACCAGATGCAGCTGCAGGTGCTTATGAAGCTTTGGGGGCAATAGAAGACTACCAAAGAAGTTATTTAAACTCTGCTGAGTTACTGGATTGGTTGTATGCTGTAGGAGAGACTTCTGAACTTCACACTGCAGTTTTAATCAGTGCACTGAAAGATTTGACCATCCTCCATCTCAGTGAACGCAGAGACCGTTGGCTGTTCTGGAAGGTTGTGGCATTTAATTGAGTTACTCACTAGGAAGTGCTCTCAGGTCCCTCACTCAGCTGTCTTTACGGAGTAGTTTGGTGAATATTGCTTTCATGCTATGGAAATTATTATTTTTCTATTATTATTGTTTTGCAGAAAACCAGCTGGATCGGAGCCAGTTCCTAAATCCAGGATCACGCTCCCTGCTCCTAACCCTGACCATGTTGGTGGTTACAAATTGGCAGTTGCCACTTTTGCAGGGATCGAAAACAAGTTTGGACTTTACCTACCTCGGTTTAAGCCATCACCACCTACCTCAAAGGCTGCTGCAGCAGTAGGACCCTAAGCTTATTGCTGTAGGCTTTTTGTTATTAGTTGGGAAAGAGCCACTTTTCTAATTGGTTAATACTTTTGTTCCTTTAGCTTCACATCGTATAACAGTTTGGCTTCATTTGAGTTTTTAAGGCAGTTCTCATCTTAAACGTAATCATTTGTCTTTGTGCTTCCTTTACCAGATCACTGTGAGATTCTTACCAGTCGTTTTAAGTTTGGGACCATGAATGTATCTGTCCACATCTGACATGAGCTTGTGTTGGGAAGACACTAATTTTAGGTTCCATTTATTGGAGAGGGTTGGGTGAGAGCTGTGAGCCAGATCATCTTACAGACAGTGCTCAGTTGCAGATTCCCAGGGTGGATGTCACACACTGTCACTCAAATGGCAGAAAAACTCAGTGGATGTCACGGTGCTCAAAGCAGAATGAGTTTGAGTGCACCTGTGAATTGGTTCTCAACTTAGTGCGTGTCTGTAGACGTCAGCAAATACACCCCTGGTACCTAAGTCTGCCAGTACAGCTTTGACTTTTTAAATACGTACACGCACAAGTTCTGTTTCTGGATTGTGTTATGAAGCTTTTATGTGGAACATGTTTTTGTAATGGAAACCACATTTATAAATGTTTAGCCGTTGTATTATGTTACTAGTATCAAAATGCTCAAAAGAAAGTGTTATTGTCCATAGTCTTTGCACTTTATGGCAGTACTTTTGGCATTCTACTACACGTACAAGGAAATTTCATAACTAGGTGCCTATCTTGGGTTGCTGGTGTTTGGAATTCAGTTTGTATATGCACTCTAGTAAAACGCTGCTTGTTTAAATAGCTGCAATAGAAAATTCATGCACTGTATCAATGGTACCTGCCTTAACTGCTGGCTTGTAATTGGCAAATAGGTGGTTTCAGATTCTTATTTACTTCATTGAGTCCACAGAGATTAAAATACTCTAAAAGAAAAGATTTTACTTAATTTTTTGGTGCCTTGCACAGTGTTTAGAAGATTATGTATTTATGAAGATAGTAATAAACCTTTCAAACAGATGCACATGTGGTATTCTGTTATGGAAATGGGATAGTACATCCAAAGGCTTGTTCAACTTCATTTATAAATTTAAGTTAAAGCTGATATTCAGGTGTTTGGGCTATAAAAACATCTGCAGTTTGAGAACGAAATTACCTGTGTCCGTGTGTGTAGAAAAGACCCATTGGTGTAGATGTCGTACAAAAAAGACATTTTTCTTCAGTCAGAAAGCAGGATTGAAGTAGGCCTTTCTGCTTGCTTTTTCTGTTTTTCTTTTTTTTTCTTTTTATAGTCATAGAATCACAGACTGGCTTGGACTGAGCTGGAAGGGATCTTAATGATCGCCTAGTTCCAACCTTCTCCCATCGTGGCCAGGGACACCTTCCTCTAAATCAGGCTGCTCAGGGCCCCATCCAGTCTCTGGCCCTGAACGCTTCCAGGTATAGAGCATCCACAGCTTCTCTGGGCAGTCTGTGCCAGCACCTCACCACCCTCCGAGGGAAGAATTACTTCCTAACATCTATCTAAATCTCCCTTCTTTCCATTTAAAATTGTCATTCCTTGTCCTATTACTTCAGGCCCTTGTAAAAAAGTCTTTCTTTAGCTTTTCTGTAGGCCCCCTTTAAGTACTGGAAAGCTACAGTGAGGTCTCCTCAGAACCTCTTCTCCAAGCCAAACAAGACCAGCTCCCTCAGCCTGTCTCCATAGGTGAGCTGCTCCAGCCCTCTGATCGTTCTCCTGACCTCCTCAAGAAGTTCTGTCCAGCAGCTCCACGTCTGTAGCTATGGCCTCAGAGCTGAATGCAGTGCTGTGAGGCCGTGCAAGAGTGGAGCACACAGGTGACACTCGCTTCTCTTGCCCTGATAGTTACGTTTCTTTTGATGCATCCCAGGATGTGGTTGGCTTTCTGGGCTGGTAAGTGCACGCTGCTTGTCATGTTGAGCTTCTTATCAGCCAAAACCTCTAACCTTCTCCTGGCTTCTCTCAATCCATTCTCCTCCCAGCCTGAATTCGTGTTTGGGATTGATGCAACTCAGGTGTAGGACTTTGCACTGAGCCTTGTTGAACTTCATGAGGTTTGCACACGCGCACTTCTCAAGCCAGTCCAGGTACATCTGATAGTATTCTTTCCCTCCAGCCTGTCAGCTGCACCATGCAGCTTGCTGTCATCTGCTAACTCGCTGCAGGTGCACTCAATCCTGCTGTTGTGTCACAGACACAGATGTTAAACCGTGCAGATCCCAATACCAACCCCTGAGGAATGCCACTGATCACTGGTCTCCACCTGAACATTGAGCCAGTGACCACAGCTCTGAGTGCAACCATCCAGCACATTCCTTACCTACCAGGTGATCCATCTGTCAAACCGCACCTCTTCAATTTAGAGACAAGGATGTTGTGCAATACAGTATCAAATGCTTTCTTTGCACAAGTCCAGATAGATGATGTCAGTTGCTCTTCTCTTTTCCACCAATGCTATAACCCTGTCATAGAAGCCATTAGACCTGTGTTATTCTGAGTACCTGGCCAATAGAAGTTACTGCTGGGTATCCTCTGTGCTACCTCTTAAGACAAGAATTTAGTGTTTACAGAAGAATGCTTTTCTTCTTTTGGAAGATGGGAAGTGTTGGCTTCAGCACAGCTTGTAAACTGAGAAAATGCCTGGATGCAGTATCTTTGCAGAAGAAGTAGGTGGGTAATACTGTGTTTTATTGCTATTTGTTGAAGTACTGAAATTGCTATATTACATTTGTGTTTGGGTCGTCATCAAAATTATTTACTTCAACTAAATTGTATTTCAAAATTATCAGTGAAATAAGGCATGAGAATAGCAGCCTGTAGTGCTCGCACACCTGAAGGTGAGGGAGATGATACTTACCAGCAGCTGCACCTCTGAGTTGGGCTGCACTGTGCAGAGAGCACAGGGCAGCTGTTGGCTGCAACCTCTCGGCCTCATCTATTCAAGTCTTCCAAAATGACAGTTCCTTTGTTTCGAAAATGGGTAAAAAGCCTGCTTTTGTGTTTCTCCAAAGTTAACTGTCATGGTTTTTTGTTAAGTCTTGTCACAAAAGTTAAACTTTTTCTCTGGGAGCTGCTTGCGTTTGACACTGGAGATTTTTTAGGCAATTTAGGAGTTGTTTTTCCAATTAATCGCTTGCTTTTGCCTGACTTACCTTGTCAAGAATTTCCACGGGAAAGCAGCAGCTCTTGGAAGACATCTGAGTGCTGAGCTGTTCTTTTGTGCTTTTGGGTCAGTGCCTGCCTAGGTGTGCACATCCAGGTGGCAGCCACTCGCTTCTGACACGGTCTGGGGATGGGATGTCTTGGACTGTTGCAGCCAGGACGCATCTCTGTTAGCAGGGACAGAATGGTGAAGAGTCTGTGATGGCCCAGCTCATGATACTCAGAGCAGTTCTGTCCAGAGATCCTCTGGCTGTGTGCTGTCAGCTTCCTCCAAACACAAAAGGATGCTAAAGTTCTGAAAAGCTTACAGGCCAAGAAATTGTCAGATTGCCTTACAAACATAAGGCCCCAGGGATGTTGAGATGTTTGTTGTCTTTGAGTTTCTGGGTGAGTTACGCAAAGTGTTGGAAAGAATAGGATAAAAGGTAACCTTGTTTGCTTCCTGCAGCCCAGCCACATCCCACTGAGTCAGCCAAAAAGAGAGCTGCTCTAATACTGATGATGTTCCCCACTGGGGGCATCTCAGGCAGCCACCTCTGTTCCTGTTTGTGTGCCCAGCAGGAGCTGAGGGATTTTCTGCCTGTCCCTGAGAAAGGGGGTTTGGCTTAAGTTCCTTAAGACTGACAGTGGGGATGCTGTCATGACCATATGTACCACAGGCTTCCTAAATAACTTGGGCAGGTTTCTCTCAACCTGCTAAAAATGGGGTATCTGACAAACTGCTCTGCGTCTGACTTAGGAGACAGGGCCACCTGGGCCACCTCTGCTGTGCGCCGGGCAATGGCTGAGCACAGCGCTGTGCCCCAGCATGGTGTGAGACTCTGTGCCTCTGCAGCACACGATGTGGCCACACCAGCGCTGCTGTGATACTCAGGCCTTGGATGCTTCTCATGCTCAAGGTTGTCCAAGCCTCTGGCTGCACGCGCTGTCAGCCCTTTGGGCTTTGCTCTGTGGAAATGTGCAGCGCTTCTGAGGCACATCTTGAGGCCACTTTATGAGCTAAGAATGCACAGAGGCAGTGTGGGCAGTGAGTACTTCGTAGAGTTGTGGGGGTGGAAGGGACCTCTAGAGATCATTGAGTCCAACCCTTGCTCAGGCAGGTACCCTACAATAGGTTGCGCAGGTAGGCATCCAGATGGGTCTTGAATATCTCCATAGAAGGGGCTCCGCAGCTGGACAGCCTGTTCCAGTCTGCATCGCCCTTACCATAAGGAAATTCTTCTGCATGGTATTATGGAACTTCCCCTCACTTTGATTCCAAAAACTGAAGGTAATGTGGAAACAAAGAAGCAAAAGTTACTGCTGTCAGTGCACAGCTTACAATGCACAGGAAACAGACTGGGGTTGAGCCCTTTCCCACTGCACCCATGTTGGGTACCATATAATCGATGAATATTAAGTTGTTATAATTACAAAATAAACAAGAGAGTTAGGCAAAGCAGATTATAGTAACAAAAAGAAAAGGGATAGAAAGCTTACCTGTATCCTGGGCTCACTTACGGAACTCCAGCAGAGTGGATCTCCAGACGAGATCCTTCCCCACTGGTAGCCAGCTCTTAAATAGGTCTAGGAGAGGTGCAGCCAGGCTCCACCCCTTCCTGCAGCACAGGAGAATTGCCTTCACCTGTGCTCCTGTGGCTGACTCAGCGCTCTCCTCAGGTGCTCAATCAGAGGTTCAGGCCATGACCCAGCAGTTCCCATACAGGTACACACACTTGGGTGTGGGTTTGCTGTGCAAGGATGATGGGCAGAGCACCCTTGGCCCGTAACAGGCTCTGATGGACATGTGCATGCGTGTGTGTGCCTCCATAGGGCTGACTCTGATAGCTGACACCACTGTGCACTGTTTCAGGTCCTGTGTCTGCAGGCATAGGGATGTGACATCCCCATCTGAGGAACCCAGCCCATGGTTCAGAATATGATTGGCCCTGGATGGCATTAGCCAATACAGTCCTGAACAGCATGGAGATGTGCTTCCCTGGTAACACACAGACTTGTTACTGCCTGACTTCAGTGCTTCCTGCTGTGATGGCTCACCTGTCTGCCCAGGGGACACTGCAATGCTGTGCTGCCAGCAGCCTGCCACATCCCTCAGCCTGTGCCCTGCTGCCTTGCTCCGGTCATGAATTCCTTGTAAAGTAGAATGTTCCCTTGTTTCCTACCACGAACTGACTCTCAAGACAGCTGGAGGAGACCTTTTTTCCTTATTCCTTTTCTTCTCGTTCATACAGCAGCACAGTGCTGTTATGTGTGCAGGTAACCATGCACAGTAGGGTTGGGGAGGAAACCAAACCTAGAAGCTGGCATGGATTAGTTTGTTCTGTAACAGCTGCAGAGAATCTGTTGCACCAAGGCCATGGCTGGCCAGTCCTGCACCTCCGTGTGCTCACGCAGCAGCTGCAGTAGTGCTCTGCAAGCCGGCAAAGCCCCGTTTCCCAGTGCCCAGTAATGAATGTGCTGAGCGCTGCTGGCAGGGAAGGATTAACCACACTGCAACAGAACAGGCTGGATACATTTTATTGGCAACGCTAGTGTCATACTCGGGAACCACAACCCTTTGTCAGACTGTTAGTGTTAACTTGCATGACAAGTATCAGTGACCAACTGTATTTGAAATATTGTTAAAGTGCCTAGAAATAATGGGCGTCTTAAAAAGAGGAAAGGAAACGCACTCCATCCACTCAAGCCAACCTTTATAGATCTTACATCTTAAGCACAACTGATGCACTGTAATTGTTACGTGGACTTTAATGTAACCTCTACAGCAGCACACAGACAATGCAGTTCTCTCATTATGCACATGCTTTAGGATCGTTTATTTTAATGCTTTCAAATAAATATGTTCCATGCAGCACACCGCAATAAATAAGGAGCAGCAACTTTCGTATAGTACATCCATTCATAATGTAAGTCACCATGTGAAACACCACATCTAAAGCCTTTGGCCCAGTCCCATACAGTGAAGCACACCACATCTGCACATAATCATATCTGGCTTCATATGGATTTAATAGGACTACGCCAGAAGGGCAATGTGAGCACAAGTTTAACCAGGGGTTCCTACCCATTAAATACGGCTACTAAGTAGTTAAAAGGCAACAACTAAACCCATAAAGGGTTGATTTGTCTTTTCTTTCTTACCTTTCAGACAGAAATATAAAGTATGAAAATGCTCTGGATTTTTTCAGCCCCGTGTAAAGCCGTGTGATTAGCATGGAATGCTCTGAGCAGTACTGGCACGCACGCTGGCATCGGCAGCCACAGCCCGACAGTCTGCAGGGAAGGCCGCTCCTCCTCTTCCTCTATGCTGCCAGCTCCACCGCCCCCTCCTCCTCGCTGTCCGCCCGGTTGGCGCGGATCTCCACCAGGGTCCGAGCAAAGCGCGTCCATTCGTCGTTGTGCGGCACCGCCAGCTGCAGAGAGACAGCACAGGGATGACAGCCCGGCGAGGCACGGCGCCTGCCACAGCCCGTGGCCGGCCATGTCAGCCCGCAGCGCTGCCCCATCCCGGCACAAAGCCACTCTTCTCCCATCCAGCTCCGGTGGCAGAGAGAAAAGCTTCTCTCTCTGCAGGATTCTGGGGAGGAGTGCTTTGCTTCAGCACTGTCGCAGAACCCCTCTGTGAACCTTTCTGATTTTCCAAACTACCACAAGCTCGCTCTCTGTGACACATCCATATGCATTTCACAGCACACACATGGCCAAGAGTAATTGTTTGCAGGACCGAGGTCGGTGTGTACAAGGTAACAGTGCTTTTACAACGCTGTACTGAAACCATGTTCCTGAAGTTCATTAAAGCTCTTATTAAAATAAATATATTCTGCTATCTTAGTTACCCTCCTCTACGTTAAGGAATTTACCATGAGGAAGCGTGCACTATAAGGGGAACATAAAACCAACTGGAGACTGCCCCGCCAGCATCTGTTTTGAAATTGACTCGTAAGATCCGTTTCCATTCAATAGCACTGATGTTTCTGGTGAAGAGCTCTTGAACATCAGGCTTCAAGAGGAGCCTGTAACCCACAGCGCAACTTCCTGATAAAACGCAGTAGTGATATGACAAAATAGCAGTCATTTCCAGCTGGATCCAACACTGCAATTTCTTGAAGACAACACAAACTGAGATGGTCCACACTGGAATAGAAGCAAATTGTTCTCACCCCCTTCCTTCCCTACAGCGGTCTATATGGCTGGAGACTGAGCAAAAGTGATTTACACAAACTGGGAAGCCCGATTTGGGCAAGAACTTGCATAAAAGCCTAATGTTAACCCTGTGTGTACACTGCTGCAAGTTCAGAGTTGATTGCATGGATGGGTATTTGCAATACCTCCTTGTATCTCAATTAAGTCAATGAGATTTTCAACTACTATGCATCTAGTTTTGCCTCTACAGCCAATATTACAGGCAATGATCTAGCATATGTTTCAAAGTATATCCATATACGTGTATATGGATATATATATGTATATGTATATATAGGACATATATGTGTCCTATATCCACATATAGGACACATACCAATGACTCAGCCATGTTATATGAAGGTCAGGCATACAGTAGCTTTGTTTTGCCTACTGAAATATTGAATATAATACAGCTCAATATTTACTGATGTTGCAGACCAAAAAACACCTGTGTTTTTTGACCAAAAAATTCTGTGTGAAAATTACCAGCCCTCAACGTGCCTCCACCTTCCACTTTTGCATTTTTCTCTTTAACTTCTGGAATGGAGACCAGAGTTCCAGGAGCAAACCATGGGAGCCAGCCGTCCCTTTCACAGAATCACAGAATCGCAAGGTTGGAAACGACCTGCAAGATCATCTAGTCCAACCACCCTCCCATTCCTATTAGTGCCACAAGCTACTAAACCATATCACAGCACGTCATCCAGATGCCTCTTGAACACTGCCAGGGACGGCGACTCCACCACCTCCCTGGGCAGCCATTCCAGTGCCTGACCATTCTCTGAGGGAAACAGTTTCTCCTAATGTCCAACCTAAACCTCCTCTGGTATAACTTTTGGCCGTTTCCTCGGGTCCTACTATTTGCCTGGGAGAAGAAGCCAGACCCTTTTGCACCACAGCCTCCCTTCAGGAAGTTGTACAGTGCAATGAGGTCTCCCCTGAGCCTCCTCTTCTCCAGACTGAACAACCCCAGCTCCCTCATCCGCTCCTCATAAGACTTGTGCTCCAGACCCCTCACCAGCTTTCTTGCCCTCCTTTGAACATGTTCCAGGGCCTCAATGTCTTTCTTGTAGTGAGTGGCCCAAAACTGAACACAATACTCGAGGTGCGGCCTCACCAGTGCTGAGTACAGGGGATGATCACCTCCCTGCTCCTGCTGGCCACACTATTTCTAATGCAGGCCAGGATGCCGTTGGCCCTCTTGGCCACTTGGGCACACTGCTGGCTCATGTTCAGCCGAGCATCAACCAACACCCCCAGGTCCCTTTCCTCTTTACAGTCATGCAACTGCTCATCTCCAAGCCTGTAATGCTGCATGGGGTTGTTGTGGCCAAAGTGCAGGACCCGGCACTTGGCCTTGTTGAACCTCATCCCATTCACCTCAGCCCAGCGATCCAGCTTATCCGGATCCCTCTGCAGGGCCTCCCTGCCCTCAGGCACATCGACACCACCTCCCAACTTGGTGTCATCTGCAAACTTACTCAGGGTACACTCAATCCCTTCATCTAAGTCATCAATGAAGATATTAAACAGGATGGGCCCCAGCACTGACCCCTGGGGGACACCACTTGAAACAGACTTCACTCCATTGACCACAACCCATTGAGCACAGCCCTCCAGCCAGTTCCTCATCCAACAGAGGGTAAAACTGTCCAAGTCACGGGCAGCCAGTTTCCGCAGAAGGATACTGTGAGAGACCATGTCAAAGGCTTTGCTGAAGTCTAGGTAGACTACATCAACTGCCTTTCCCTCATCTACCAGTCTGGTCACCCAGTCGTAGAAGGAGATGAGGTTGGTCAAACACAACCTGCCTTTCATGAACCCATGCTGGCTGGGCCTGATCCCGTGGACGCTGCGCACGAGCCGTGTGATCTCTCCCAGGAGGATTTGTGCCATGACCTTCCCTGGCACTGATGTCAGGCTGACAGGCCTTTCACACACACACACACACACGTGGATCTGCTGTGGCCTTCAGTTGAAAGAAAGCTCTGTTCTCTGAAGAACATTAAACAGAAGGAAACATTAACATCAAGATGAAGGTCACTTCACCAACACACAAGCACCCATAGCAAAGGTTTGGTCACACACACGCCTACACAAAGGCCTGCAGAGTAAGCTGAGAGACGATGCAAAGATCCTTCCATTACAGATGAAGCCCAAGCCATCTGTGCATCAAATTCTATGTTACCACTGCTGGTGTTCTAAAAGACTTTCTTTCTCATGACGTGCATAGCACTGTCATTTGTCAAACTGAATGAAAACATGAAATAAGCCTCAGTCATGTCGAGTAGTGAAATCGTTAAAGTGGAACAATATATTAGGCAAAGGATTCCGTGAATTTAATAAAGCCTCATTTCTTGTTCTCTTTTTAAATCCCAAATGGCTTTACATTGTATTAAGTGGCTCAAGATGATAATACATCAAAAGAAAAAAAAAAAAGAATGTATTTATTACAATGCGATAATTTAATTCCCTTTACACCACAGCACGGCCACAGACAAATAAATCAAAGCCCAAATGACAACAAACTGAAAACTGAACCTCCTCTCTGCAAACGTAGATATGCAATATGGCTAACTAACAGCTTCAGAAGGGCTCAGGCCTTTTTTAATGCCTCAAATCACAAAACAGTGATTTAAGTGAAGACCGTTAGCACACAGATGAAAACATTCAGTGTCCACATGCAATCTAATTACTTAGATCTTCGTTTTATTGTACCTTATTTAATCTCACACATTGCATCACACCTTCAACAAAGGGAGAGTTCTGCTAATAGTCTGGTAGTAGAACAAACCTCTCTAATCTAAATCCCTCAGGGATGCAGAGTCAAGTCAAGGGAAAACAAACTTTTATTCTTCTTTCTAAGAAGTCCCTAATGCTGAACTACGCAAGTTATAAGGCAAAAGACCACAAACAAAAACAAAAGCATCCACAAACTCCAATTCAAATTCTTGTATGAATTAATGCTCCCAGTCGCTGTCAATTAAAGTTCATTCAGCTGGGCATGCTCACACTGATAACTGCTCAAGGCCCGTGTCCCTCCGTGGACCAAACTCCCCATTTCAGCTTTCCCGATGCAGTAGTTGTACTGCAAATCCCAGGGCAGGGGAGGAAGAAAATAAATTTGTAGGAGAAGGATGGGGACTTAGAGCTGTTTAGGTGTTTCTTACTCATATGCCATTTCTCTGTCCACTTTCAGTCACTCCAAAGCAGCATGTGTTGAGTTCCAGCAGTCATAATCACTACGCAGAGTGGAAATGTTCACCAAAGCATAAGGTAATATAATAAGTTATATTAACATTTGGGTCATAAGGTTATTTGAATGAACTGACTGCTATGGAGCAGAACAAGAAAATAAATGTTATTTAGTGTTCTCCTTTGATCCCTTCACAAGGGAACGTAAGCGCTACCTGCAGCTAATTAATTAACTGAATTACTCACACCACTTTAGCTTAAATACCACAGTGTATTTAGGTTGCATCAGATAGCAATTCTAATGAGGAAAACCAGTATTACCAAAGCAGTGTGGTGACTTAAGCCAAACTTTGTCTGTTCAGACGTTAGGAGTTGTTCGGTCTTCTATCCAGCTTTTAAAATATCAAAAGAGTTCAGGCTGCAAGTGTGACTACAAGTTTATGCAGCCACACAAACCTGCTCCTGCTTGTGAAGTTACGTGTGCTCAGCTGGTTACAGGTAATGCAAGAAAACATTTTAGCAAGATGCTGAAATGATGATTCATTTTTTTATTGGGTGAAGCCACTTAACTTGGGACATCTGAGGTTCTTTCATTCTCAACAATCAACATTTTCTTTCTATCACTCTAATCTTGTGAGAACCCTCTCCTCAATTAAAATCCATGAAATACCTTCCAAAAGCACTTCAGTATCTATGAAATGGGTATCTGTAACTGTTTGATAAATGATCAGTGACCTGTAACATACTAAACATCGTACAAACATAACATTTCATCATTTCAACTAGTTCACAAACTGCTACTCGATGATATTCAAAAGCTGATTTATGTCATGCAAACTCTCAGAATTAATTTGTCCACCGCCTCCATTACTATGATTTTAGATACACAGATTCTGGTGAGAAAAAGTGTCAGTAAAGCTTCTGAAAAGGAAGCACGCCCTGGGCAGCACCTCCCAACCAGCAACCTGAGTGTCCCAAGCAAAGCGAGCTCAGTGCAGCCCCTTGTACTGCACACAAGGGCCAGTATGCAGCAGCCACAGCTACTGCCAAATACTGGAGTGGTGGATTGGCAATTTCAGCAAGCTCAGGCTCTGTTCCAGACAGTAACACCAAGTGGATTCCTAACTATTCTTGTGACGTGCTACAGTTACCAGGTTATCTTATTAGGGACGAATAACATCATACCCATGTGAACCTTACCCAGCTTGTGCTTCCCTGGGTGTGCCACATGCACAGGTACTATAGGAAGGCAACCACTGACTGGACAGAATAGAATAAAAGGTGCTTAGAAAGTGAGATGATGGGATGCAGTGACATAAGGCTTATACAAGTATATAAGGAGATCTCCCCATTCTCATTTGTCTCTTTCCCAACAGCCAGAGGTGGCTGCATTCTGGTAAGTCAGAAGCCTCTGGTTTCCAACTTTAATCTCAA